AACAGCGGCAAGCCCATTGCTCCTCGACATTTTCTTCGACTACGGTTACTCCTCCGGTAGTGGATCCCTGGCGCCTTGTCACAGTCGCCTCTCCATCGTCACCTGGCCACCACTCGGCAGGAACCGTTCTGAATCGGTAAGTCACATAGTAAACTACGGACCTACCAACCTGATATTCACCTACTGACCTAACCAAGTGACCTAGTGACCTAGTGACCAGGTCATTAGGTCACTGGGTCAGTAGGTAAGTATGCGGTTAGTAGGTCAATGGGTCAGTAGGTCACTAGGTCACTAGGTTAGTAGGTCACTAGGTTAGTAGGTCACTGGGTTAATAGGTCACTAGGTTAGTAGGTCACTAGGTTAGTATGTCACTAGGTTAGTAGGTAACTGGGTTAGTAGGTCACCAGGTTAGTAGGTCACTAGGTCAGTAGGTCACTAGGTTAGTAGGTCAGTAGGTTAGTAGGTCACTAGGTCACTAGGTCACTAGGTTAGTAGGTCACTAGGTTAGTAGGTCAGTAGGTTAGTAGGTTATTAGGTTACTAAGTTGGTAGTTCGCTGAAGTTCAGTCACGCATGGACCTATCGTTAAGCAACGTGAGCCGATTCGCCACTGAATGCTACTCTGCAGAATAAATAAACATCAATTTTAAATAATGGCGACGCCTTACCAGCCTTCTAGCACTCTTCCTCTCATACAACTATAGAGAAATTGCGCATTTATTTATAGAGAAATTACATAGTTCACTGGGGTGTCCAAGCACGATAACGTTTATGGTTAGGCTGAAGGGCAGTTCGTCACTGCAAGTAGTCCTCGAATGGCATTGAACGATGGCTGGACCTGAGATAGTGCTACTGCTACTACTAACGGAGGTGTAGCTCAAGTTTTTGTTACATGTTTACGCCACTGTACTGAGCGTGCTCCCATACTTGGCAGTGGGGAGACCCTTTCTCGCTTTATTGCAATCCCTTTTCATTAAATCCCGCATTCCGAAGGTGGCATTAAACGACACACACATACATTTTTGCATTCGTACATCCGGAGAGGCGTGATGTGCTCCAATGGCAGTCCATGAAACATTCGAATTTTCGCGCGCGGGAAACTAATTCAAACGGCAGCCGGTGGCGACACTGTAGGCTAGAACGCAAAAAAGGAAGGGCAGTCGGCCTCACCTATTCTTAGAGATGCTTTTTAGCCAAAAGTTATTGTTTTCACCCATTTTCAAGAAGGGGAGGGCTCCGGAGTGGGTGAGATGGTTGGAACTCGTGGAAAAAATTGGTATGAGATAAGAATTGAATGTTCAATTGGCTCACCCACCCCTGAACTCTTCCTCTTCTTGAAATTACGTAAAAAATATTCAGTTATAAACTACAATTACATTTTCAACTTCAATTCCAAGGCATAATCATATTTCGATACGGCACAAGAACGAAAATCGCGTACGGGCACTTGGTTCCTACAGTGACTTCAAGGTGAAATAAAATGCTGCGGACGCAGAAGTCAATATTCATAATCACATCCTCTACCTGCTCAAGATACAAAAGTAAAAGAGGATCATCATCTAGTCATTATCCCAGTGGCGTTTAGAAAAATGAACGATTAGGCTGCTTTCATAGCCCTGCGTCCGTCCAGACTAGTAGTCTCCTGGCAGGCTCGCGCACTCGCTCGCGTACTGTGAAAGCAGCCTTATTGACAGTGTCGTGTCACTGTTAGTGCATCATTCCCGCCAAATTTCCAGCATTCTCCTCGAACAACTCACCTGAAATATCTCCCCGATTGGGTGGGAAACTAAGGAGGCATAGGTGCTATAAAGAACGTGTACAGGTCCCCTCTTTGCAATTCGTTCATTTATTCTCATTTTCTAGTAGTAGCAATAGCATTCCCTCAGGTTGAGCCAACGTACAATGCTATCTGTTGAAGGCTCTCTTGCAATGGCTGCTTTCATAGTTCGCGAGTGAGCGAGCGAGTGCGTGAGCCGGCCGTCCGGCGGTTGCGACCAAGATCCAGTTGCAATTAAGGAGCAAGCGTCGCCCCCTGTCGCTCGCTCTCGCGCTCGTAGGCCAAATCGCGGACTATGAAAGCAGTCAAGCCAATGAACGAACCGTACTTCAATCAAACCATAAACGTTCTTGTGCTCCTATGACGTACGGATGGAAAAAGCATGCCATTTCTGCTTCTGTCAGCAACTTTGATCTCGTCGAACAAGCTTTTTCCGCCCAAAGGTCATGCAATTACCAAACTTTCGTCGGATTCGAGCTTTTTTAGATTGCCGAGTTGCAACAGTTTCAGCGGAAGTCTCGGCGTTTTCACCGAGTTCCGGTATTCACCCCAAATTTTCATTTTTTTTTACTCAACTCCGGGTTTTCCCCAAATTTTCTCGTCGCTCAATGTTCAGCTTAATCATTCCGTTTTGGCTTTATCGTACTATTCCTAAACCAAAATCGGATGATTTCATGCTGCTGACCTTACATGGCTGCCAGCTTCAAAGACCTGCGCTTAATCCAAGCTCCTGCTCGGAATGGGTCTTTTTAACACTACGAACTATAGTGGGTGACAGCTCGCGCGGACTCACCACCGGGACCACGGACCCTTTGCAGTACTCCATCACCGCAGACCGTACCTGGGACTCGGTAGCGGGGCTCGTTCTGGCTGTGAGGTGGCAGGATCCATGCTCGCGTGAGGCTA